CCTGAGCTGAAATCAAGAGTTGGACACTTAACCAACTGAGCCACCCAGGTGCCACTGTTTTTTTTTTTTATTTTAGAGAGAGAGAGTGAGAGAGTGTGTACGTGAACAGGGAAGAGAGGCAGAGAGAGGAGAAGAGAGAGAATCTTATGGAAGCTCTGTGCTGAGCACAGAGCCTGAAGCTTGGCTAGATCCCATGTCCCTGGGATCATGACCTGAGCTGAAATCAAGAATTGGACACTCATCCTAGTGAGCCACCCAGGTGCCCCAAGTTATAATATATTTGTAATATGCATTACTACTATAATGTTTTAGTATAATATCACTTAGTTCAATGATATTAAATGTGTTATGAAAAAAGTGAGTCAACTGACATAAGACATGTCTCTAAGTTTCTAGTTTTCATTCCCCTATCCCCCATTTCACCAATTTTACAAAAGAGTTAAATTTTTCTTCAAAATATAAACCCAGTAAGATATATGCCTTGGATGATGTTTAAGTTTAGACAATGACCTACAAATAACTACCAGACAACTGGCAGCTCACAGTTCTGCAACAGTTAGAGACAGATGGACAAGTAAAAATCCTGGGTCTCAAATTGCAAGCCCATCTAAATAGATTTCCTGTTTACTTTGCATCAGCCTTTCTTACAGGTGCAGGGTGCTTACTTTTGGCAGTAGGGGAAATTTATATGATTTATAAGCCATAAGGACATCTTCTCACTTTCCATAAACAGGTTACAGAATTAATTAAAATTGCAATACAGCAACTCTGCACATGAAATCTGCTGTTATTGGAGACTAATGTAATCCAAATATGTGGAAAGTCAAATATTTTTCAACAAAGCTAATTTAGATGGATGGATCAGATAACAACTTGGAACTGAACCTGAAAGAATCATGTCTACTCAAAGGCAGTAACTGCTGAATGTTTTACTCCAAAATGAATGAGGAAAATACTGAATTTTAGTCTGTTACCAGAATGATTAGAACATAGTACTTTAGTTACAAAACTGTTTAAATATATCTTACTTGAAGAAATTGCAAAGATCCATAAAAACTACTATATGTTCTACTTTACATAAGTGAAAATGACTATTAGAAATGTAAATGAGGGGTGCCTGGGTGGCTCAGTTGGTTAAGTGTCCAACTTCAGCTCAGGTCATGATCTTGCAGTTGGTAAGCTTGTGAGTTCAAGCCTGGCATCCGGCTCTGTGCTGATTCTGTGTCTCCCTCTCTCTCTCTGCCCCTTTCCTGCTCGCGCTCTGTCTCTCTCTCAAAAATAAATAAACATTAAAAAAAAAAAAAAGAAATGTAAATGGTATGAGAGACAACATGAAATCTGCATAAATGCTATTCATGTTTATCTACTCAAAGAATATGCCTCTATCTGTAACATTTTATCCTCATGAAGACATACAAAGGCATTGAAGAAAGGTGGCTTCTTTACACCTTTGTACTGTTAAAACTCCTAGTGTTCAGTGCTATCAGATTTGTCTCTAAAACAATGATAAAAGCTGATGAGTATAGAAAAGTAAAACTTTCCACAAGTTAATGGATTTAATCTTATTGGCAAAGCAATATCAATTATATCTTTTTACAGTACAATTGAAAGTAAAAAAAGAAAAAAAAACAGTGAAAGGACAGAGCAGGAGGTAAAATGAAATTTATCTAAGGCACCAGCTTCTCTTTTCTGTCTTAGACTTTTTAGTAAGTAAAGGAATAACAAGTAGGAACAGAGAAAGAAAATTCAATATCAGAAGGAACAGTCTACAGTTACTACTACCCTGATGACCAGAGAATTAATCTAGTTGTAGCTTACAGGGTCCTCCAGAATGACTGGGAGCATAAGCCCATGTATAACATCAGTTTTCAGAATGTAGATCAATTATGATCTTAATAACTTTCTTCATGTCCATGAAGACCTTGGTCCACCTTTAGTACTTTGATTCCCTTAATACTCTACCTTTTCTTCATGGTATAAACTCTTCCTTTTTTCTGTCTCATGTAGCCTAAATGAATACTGAATAATTTTAAGAAATTAATTTTTAAGTTATTTTTCAGTTAATGTTGGTTTAGCATTTCCCTGTTTTTTTTTTTAATTACATGTATGATCTCTAAGACTTCTATGACAGCCAGCTTCTAAGAAGATGCCCAAGGATCGATCCCTGATGTTTAAGATTCATATTCTTATGTAGTCCCCTCCTATACTGAATAGAATGGCTGACTTCTGTATTCAATTGACTATTTCAGAAATGATGGTGTGTGGTTCCTGAGGCTAGGTCATAAAAGGAATAGAAACTTAGAGAAGTCAACCCCATACTGTAAGGATAGACAAACACCAGTGGAAAGGCCCTCAAAATAAAGAAGAATTAAAGTCTACTGTCAACAACTGGCACCAAATGAGTGAGTTATCTTAGAAACAGATCATCTAGCCTGTCAACCTTTCAGATGATTATAGCTCCAGTTTATATATGGACTGCAACCAACCTCATGAGATCCTGAGTTAAAACCATCTAGCTAATTCATTCCTGAATTCTTGACCCTGAGAAATTATATGAAAGGATAAAAGTTTATTGTTTTTAAACCACTAAGTGTTGAGGTACTGGTTAAGCAGCAACAACTAATTCACACTATTTCTTCTTATAGAAACAAAGAAATACAAACAGGTATGCCATTGGATCAAGCACCTTCATTAACAACATAATATTGTTGCTATATAAGGGATTTAGAATTCAAGCCAAGTAAATAATGGAGCAAGTTTTTGTTTGTTTTTTTTTTTTTTATAAATGAGGCATAATTTACATAGTTGAGATGCACACATCTGAAGTGTATATTCCAGTGAACTTTAAGTTTTGCAAGAAAATGCACCACATAAGTAATACCTTGATCAAGATGTAAAAAATTTCCATAATCCAGATAGTTTCCTTGTCAAGGCTATTTTGAATCAGTTCCTACATTGTCCCTTCTCCCAACCAGAGTTGAGTACTGTTTTTATATCTATCACCATAAGTTCTGATCATTCTAGAACTGGCTTCTTTTGCTCAGCATATTTTTAAGGCTCATCATGTTGTATGTAGCAATAGTTCATTCCTTTTTATTTTTGATTAAAATAACATGATTCATTCTTCCATTGATGGACACTTCAGTTCTTCCCAGTCAGGGGCTACTATGAATAATGTTTCTGGGAACATTGTTGTGCAGATATTTTAGTGAATATGTATTTCTCCTTTCTCTTGGTTAAATACCAAAGCAGGGCTAGGATTAGAGTGAGGTAAATGAGGTACCTTGGAGACAACAGTTAAGAAGGTCCTCTACCAAGGAGTGGAATTGCTGAATCATAAAACTTTTGTTTCTATAACAATTTGCCTTTTAAAATATAGCACTGAAATTTTACACTTAGATTTGTCATGAAATCTACCATTTAAATAAAGGGCATTGGTAGGTTATTATATTAGCATAAGAAAAAATAAATATACTTCCAAAGGCAGTAGATCAATATATTACTATCAAACTTAATACATATTAAATAAAATATAAAGTTAAGAATAATTTCCCCTAGAATGATCCCTAGATCAACTAAAACTCCTTGTTCTATCGATAAGAAATATGATTAAAAGAATTGTCCAAGGCTGCCCAGCTAGTTAGTGGCTTTTTCATCATACATAATGCATTGTACATCATTATACAAAGTTAACCCAGGCTCAGTTATATATTTCCTAGCTAAAGACATGGCTACAATTAGTTTTAATCTTTATACAAATTTAACCCAAGCAGATTTAAAATAAAGTGTTGTTTTGGTTTTATTTTTTTTTCATAAAGATGTGACTACAATTTGTTTTCAATTTTGATGTCAACTAGTTTTCACAGAGAATACTTTTTAACATCAGTGACTATAAATTAAAGGATAATTTAAACTGGCAAACAGAATAAGATGTTCTTAAAAACACAAAATCAAAGACTATGACATGTAAAAATCATAATTATAAAAACATATTCATTAAATAAGGCTAAGCTACTTCTAAATATATACAAAAGTCACTTTTAGTACCTATGGTCAGATTAGACTCTTCCAAAGAAGTAAGGCAATGGTATACTTGGTATGTGCATTCTTTCATTCTAGAGAACACTTAAAATCAAATCATTTAAAGGATCAAGGAAAGTATTTTATTCAATTTATTTGTTATACTTTTAGTAAATAACTACCATCTAGCAAGATACACATTTTTTTCCTCCCTTGAAAAAAATTTGTTTCATCTAGGATATAGCAGTGATTTAAAAGTATTAATCAAGAATAAGAATATTTCTTCAAAAGAGGATGGATAATTACAATCCTACAAAGACTTACGGCAAACATTTTTCATTGGCTTAGTACAACTTTAAAGTAATATTTCCCATGATTTTAAGATAATTTCAGAAAAATGTGTGAAGAAATTCATTTAGTAGTATATTTGTAATAATATATATACCAAGAAATATACATTTCTTGCCAGAAATGTCTGAGACAGAAAGTAACTACTGAACCACTGAATTAATGTAATTTAACCTATATCATTAGATTCCACCCAAGCTATGATTATTCTCTCTCCATTCAACATGGTCTTTCCTTAACACAACTTACTATGTCCCTAGGAATACCAGTTAGAAGTTACCAAGTACTACTCATAGGAAAATACTCTTAATCTCACCTACAGAAATGCTTAGTACTGAAAACATTTCAAATTTTCATATATATCTTTTTTAGGAATTTTTTTGCTAAGCACTCTGGAGAATGCCTAGCTCATAAAAACTGGACACTGGACAATGTCAACATTGAATTTTTGTGAGGCCTGTGAATTAAATTTCCTAAAATAAAATTTACACCTGGATTTTATCATTAAACAAGTAACAAAAGAAATAAAAACTCTGCAGTTTCTAGTTAAAATGCCTTTTTTTTTTTTTTTTTTTTTTTTTTTTTTTGCCAATTTCTGCTGTTCATTTAATTGTCCTGATATAACACGGTACCTCATGGGTTTCCTCTCTCGAAGCAAGTCTTCTAGACTCCGTTCACAGTGTTCAGCTACCACCACCAGTCTCTCTGAGTAAAACAAAGTAAATCCACTTTATATTTGATTTAAAAAATGTTTAATAACAAAATAATATAGCCCATTAAAAATATTAACTTACAGTGTTAATAGTATTTCAAGAGTTTTTCAAACTCTATATTAACCACATAGTTACCAAGTATATAAAAGAGAATAAATATGCAATAAAACATCACATTAAATAACAATTTCATGTCATCTTGTATTTTTGTCTAGAGTTTCTCCCATGCGCATCAGGAAAAACAGATGGAAAGTTTTACTTTTGGAAGAAAGAAGTGACCCTTCTTCTGACACAGACTAGGAAAAGGAAAATCTTGGATGAAGATATAAAGAAATTTTGAAGTGAAAGGGAAATTGGGAGCTAGGGACAAATTGTCTTGGCAGTCTGGTTCAAACACAAGGTTTTGAAACTGAGTTTAGAAACTTGAGAAAAGCAGAAATGTTCTGAATCATGACTATGAAGAAAGAACGGAAAATTGATGTGGGATTATTTGTAACATCATGGGGCCTGCTAAGAGTAAGTAATAATATAAAATTTTGGTGGGCACAATCAATATTATGATGTAATTTTTATTTTCCAACAGATGAGGAATACGATAGCACAGTTCTGAGGGTCAATCTATATATATATTTTTTTCATCACTTATCCCTAATGACTAACACATTGTCTGACACATTTTTTTTTTTTTAAATGAATGAATGTAAGAGGAGTGAGAGAAAAGTACAACTGGTTTTACAAGTGGTTGGGAACTTCTAAAGTTATTTCAGGAGAGATCAAGGGTTTAAAAGAAATTGGGGTTCTGTGACTATCTATGCAAAATGGGTTAGATAAGGAAGAAAGTTAACACAAAATATAGATGGCAGACTAGGATGAAACAAAGAAGTAAGAGCACAAACAGATTGAGAATAGTGACCACTGCAAAGAGGTTTGATGAAAATGAAAAGTAGTTAAGGTAGAAAAAATGAAATAGGAGATGGGAAAGGAGAATTTCAGAACAGGAGATCTAGCATGAGGAACAACTCTCAGTAACAACCGGTTCAAAATATGGGCTTGCATGTGGGAGTAGAGATGAAGGACAATGGTATACAGGCAGTCATGCGAGGTATGAGGGCAGTATATCACAGGGGTCAAGTTTCAGAAGCTGAAGCTGTCGGAAGTGGTGGCATTATACAGAATGATCAGAAACAGAAAAACTACAAATGCTCTATATGAAAGCCATCACTGTCAGATGAAAGACTCCAAGTGATCTAAATAGGGACTTACAGAAAATTAAATTTAAAAGAACATTTAATGAGGGGGAGAAAAGGAAAAAGAGAATGAAAAAGAAAAACAGTTCAGTCAAAAAAGTAAGCAAAGTTGAACCTGAAGCAATTTAGTACAACTATGAAATTCTAAGAGGAAAAAACAAATAATACTATCAGAAAAACCAAATGGGAAGCTGCTGCATTCCTTTGCTTTCATCTGACAACATTTTGTCATTTTTCCTAATACCTACCCAGCTGCCTGTTCTCAGTCTCCTCTGTACAGTGGCACCTGTTCTACCCTAACTGAAATGCTTCCAGTTCCTCCACCTTTGATTCTGGATCTTCACACTGTGTTTTCTCATTTACTCCCAGGGCTAAAAAATTGGCAAGTTTTATTTCAAGTCCAGAACTCCTTTCTGCATTGCAGACTTTTATAGATAATTTCTCACTTTAACACAAAAGTCACCTCAAACTTGACAGAACTCAAATTGAGCTTATCCTTTGCTTCCTAAATCTCTTCCCTTGAGTGCTATCAGAAAACTAGTAACACCATCCTGCCTGCTGCTTCGGCTAGAAACTTAGGAGTAATCTCCCTTTCTCAAATCCAAACAAAAAGCCCTGCTATTTCTATCTCCCAAATATTTCCAGGGTCCATGGTTTGCTCCATCCACCACAATGTGGGTCTAAGCCAGTATCCTCTCATTCGATCATTGCAATAATCTCTTAATTGATCTCACGTTAATTCTTCTTACCCTCTATCATATTTTCATACTAAAGTCTAAGTGATAAAATAATAATAAATCTGAATATATAACTCCCTCTCTACCTTCATCTTTTGTTACTTTGGCTCATCAACTTCCAGTCGTGCTGGCCTTCTCGCTCCCATCTTGAAGTACTAGCCTGAAATGATCTTCCCCATTTCTTCTCCCAGCTAACTCCTATCAAGAAACATAGTGGTTAAGAGCACAAACTCATCTGTTTAAGGTCAAATCCCAGGCTTACTACTCATTGGCTCTGTGACCTTGGAGGAATTTGCTACTCTCTCTCTGTGCCACAGTTACGTCTTCTATAAAATGAGGAAAAAAAACAGCACCTACCTCATAGAGTTGTTAGGTTGAAATAAGTTAATACATAATAAGGGTCAAGAATAGTGCCTGGCACATAGCAATCACTATCTAAATGCTAGCTATTATTATTATTATTATTATTATTATTATTATTATTTGTTGCTTAGTTAAATATGACTTCCTTAAGGAACACTTTTCTGGTGCCCCCAGATCAATTTGCTCCTCCTATAATATAATCAATTCTACACTGTACTTTAGTAGCACTTATTTCAACTCTAAGAATCTGTATACATTTTCATTGATTGTCTTTGTCCTCCACTAGATAATATGCTTCATGATGGCAGGAATGTTGGTCTTGTTCAAAATGTATCATCAGTGTCTAAAACTGGTACCTCAAGGGGTGCCTGGGTGGCTCGGTTGGTTAAGCATCTGACTTCGGCTTAGGTCATGATCTCACTGCTCGTGAGTTTGAGCTCCATGTTGAGCTCTGTGTCAGGCTGTGTGCTGACAGCCTGGAGGATGGAGCCTGTTTCAGATTTGGTGTCTCCCTCTCTCTCTGCCCCTCCCCTGCTCATACTCTGTCTCTCTCTCCTTCAAAAATAAATAAACATAAAAAAAAATAAAAAACTTGCATGGCACCTCAAACATGCAAGTATCTAATACAAAACTATTTGTTAAATAAATTAACTTCAGCAAAGGCATGATGTAGCCATCAGAAATAAGTAAGAGTCTTATATGATAGTCATTATCTAAATAGAGATCTGTCCTGTGTAGAAAATTATACGCCTTTGTTGTAAACTAGGCATAATAATGTCTCAATAGTGCTGATTTCAAATATAAGACAAAAACAACAGAATTTATTAAAACATGTATGTTCCGTTAATTTATAATTTTAAGTTGGCTATCCATAAGTCTCCATACCATGAGATATTTCCAAAGTGTTGGCACTAGATTAAAATTTGTCTGGCTTAAAATAATTTAGAAAAAAAAATTGCTGGGCTTCTTCTGGAAACTCCTTCAAAATATCATAAACCAGAGTTGCCAAAGCTTCAGGATTCTATGGAACTTTAAACCATTACTTTAATACAGCAAAGACATAATCCTTGGCAGAATATCAAAGTTTCTCCCAGAGGTAATGGAATATACACCAAAACAATGTTTCCAATATGAACCAGTTTTTTCAAGAAATCATTAGAGAGTCTTCATCCTGAAACTCTGGACCACTGTTTGAAAATAACTTCTGTTTGTTATAAAAACAATATAGTTTCACAGAATAAAATATGACAAAAATATCTGGGAATAGTAATGTGCCAAATATAAGTCAGCAATGTAGTGGCATTATTTATAAAAAACAAATGTGACACTAAGATGAACTTTAAAGAGCAAAACATACAAGAACTGTGAAATAATCTTTCTTCTAACAAATATTTGATGAATGCCAAGTATCACTGCAGTGTAACTACAGCCTGAACTGTATGTTTCCAGTCAATGCTAAGAAACTGAAAAGAGTACAATATTCAGCAAGAAAGATAATGAAGGAGTTGAATCAGAAGAGACTAAAAGAAATATCTAAATAAACATTTTTTTACTTAAGAGGAAAAAAGGTAAATTGTGAGTATGTTAGTATGAAAGGTTATCAGAATATAGTTACTACATCATTCTTTTGTGATTCACAGTAAAAACTGAGACTAGCTCATCACTTTTTAAATATAATATCTAAATAAATATTTATGTGACAAAACTGATGAATAAAATTCTGTGTTTACAACCCAGTATTGTTACAAGGTCACTGTGATGATCAGTTTTATGAGTCAACATGACTAGGCTATAGTCTTCAGTTATCCAAACATTAATCTAGGTGTTACTGTAAAAGTATATTGTTATAAATGATCAAGATCTATAATCACTCCACTTTAAGTACGGAAGATTATCCCGGATAATAAGGGTGATTCTAATTCAATCAGTTGTAAAGGCCTTAAGAGCAGGATTGAGGTTTTTCTGAAAACAAATTCTGCTCATGGACTGCAGCTTCAGCTCTTGTCCAAGAGCTCAGCTTGTCCTTCTTGATAGCCTGCCCTATGATTGGATTTCAAACTACTCAATCCTCACAGTCACATAAGCCAGTTCCTAGCAATTAATCTCTTAAAATGAATATTCTGCGGGTTCTAGTTCTCTCATGGAACTCTGAACGGGTAGAGACACTTAGGTTGAAATGTATATTCAGCTAAAAATATGGAACAAATTATCTTAGAGGTCCTTAACAATTCTATTATTCTCTACCTGAATTTCAACTCTTAGTTAAAATAATTTTGTTTTTTATTTCATTAGCAATCACCAAAAGATTTCTGGGCAAATTAATACCAAATAAAATGATTACCATTACCATTTATAATCCTCACTCTGTTTCTAAACCCTGTTGAAATTTCAAGTTCAAAAGAAAAAGATTAAATTTGTTAACTTAAATTTTTTCATGGTTTTTGGTTTTTTGTCTTTTAAAGATACTTTGCTCCACTTTTCTATTAATAAATCAAGTTCTCAAATTCTAATAAAATGTCCACGATTTTTGAGATTCAATACTTCATCTTGAGTTAGGAAGAAACTAACATCATCTCGAATCAGTTTTGAATGATCTATACAAAACAGTGAAAGCCTGACTTGTGAGCTAACCCACCATGTGAAAA